TATTCCACCCACTTTATCACCCCCTGCCCCCAATAAGTGGGCAGGGTTCCTATCACCATAATCATCCCTGTCACAGATGAGGAAATGGAGGCACAGGTCATTAAGCAACTCGGTCTAGCTCACATAGCCAACGAGCCTTGGCCCTAGAGGCAGCTTGCAGCCCCAAAGGACTCCTGGCCACCGGGCTAACTTCTGTCTTGGCAACAAAACATAAATGCAAGCTCCTGTCCCAGATCTCAGCTTTGTTTGGATAACTGGTGCTTTTCCTACTCTCTCCAAAATCACCACAGTATCGCCAGTCCCGTTTTTAGGTTGAAAACATTATTTAAGCAGAACTGAAGATTTAAAAACCCAAGTCTGCCAACAAACAGTGAATGCGATCACCTAAGATTCCAGTCTGGTCCGCTAGGCCGAGAAGCACACGACAGCACCTGCTCCGGCGCCGTGTTACCTGTGGGGTGGTTGTGCGTCATCCTGCCGCACTCGATGCTGACTTCGATCAGGGTCTCCAGCCGCTCCGGCCGCCAGTACCGCATGCCAATGCACATGGCCTTGGTGGCAGCTCCAAATCCCGAACCTGCATGGAACGCGAAATGCCTCATTTTAGACTTTCGCTCTGATAATCCCACTTCTGGCAATCTGGTTTTCAAAAATAATCTAAAAAATGTATAAAAATTCATGTACTAACATGTTTATCATAGTGTAATTTAAATGAGAGAAAAATAGGCAAATCATCCAAATGCCTGACAAAGAAAAGAGATTAAATAAATTGCAACACAGCCATATGTTGGAATGTTATTTAGCCATTAAAAACAGATTTAAAAAAATATATATATTTATTGATTTCAGAGAGAGGAAAGGAGAGAGAGAGAGAGAGAGAAACATCAATGATGAGAGAGTCATTGATCGAGCCCACAACCCGGGCATGTGCCCTGACCGGGAATCGAACCCCGATTGCCTGGATCCTAGGTCGACGCTCAACCGCTGAGCCACGCCTGGCCGGGCAAAAACAGAATTTTTGATGGCATGCGGGATTGCTCATAATATGCTTCTACTGGATAGTTTCTTCAAACTCACTAATCTTTTCTTCTGAAATGCCTAAACTGTTCATCTCAGCCTATGTATTTTTAAACTCAGACACTGTAGTGTTTTTCTCTAGAAAGGCAACTTAGGTCTTTTTTTATACCTCCTAGTCTCTAGCTAACTTTTTGAAAGTATAGAATATATGCTATTTTATATCTTGTCTGATAAATCTAACATCTGTCAGGTTTCATCAGTTTTGATTTATTGATTTTTCTCTTTATTATTTGATTGGATGCCATCCTTCAGTATAAACCCAGAAGGGGGTAGGCCCCACCTTCAATATAAACCCAGAGGGGGCAGGTCCAGAAGCCCTGGAGGCAGAAACTGTGGCTACCTAACTACATCACCCATAAGCACATGAAATCTTTGTGGAGACAGACACGTATGCAGGTAGTGTATATTTCCCTTGATGTTTGGCAAAAAGAACAAAAAATTACAAACTTAAAGGGAAAGCAGTGGAAAATATTTCTTAAAATAAACCAGGGATTGGTGACAAATCTGCCAGGGAAGCTGGCATCCTCTAAATAGACGCCCATGCAGCAAGCTGGCCTTCCAGGCGGCACACTGCCCTACAAACCCTGGCGAATCCCTCTCAACTCACGCAAAACTGCAAGGCGGCCGGCTAGTGGGAAGGCAGATGGGCCAGCGCCCAGGGGCGGTTCCCTAGGGTGCGGCTTTAGTGGGAGAAGCAGGCCTTCCCTCACCCTTCTCGTTGAAAGGTGTGTGCCAGGCAAGGAGGTAGTTATCCGGCTTCAGCTGTGAGCAGCCTTCAATGGTAGCGGGGTCTGCTCGATGTTCTGGAAGCTTCTCGAGGACTTCCACGTAGCACTTCACCATCTCCCTGTACAGGTCGTCCAGGCACCAGTAGTCTGGGAGGGAAGGGGACAGCAGGGTCAGAGAGAGTGAGAGGCGCGTCTACCACGTAAACCCCAGCACAACAGTCACAACAGAAGGGACAGCAAGCATCAATTTTCCAAGTCAGTGGAAGAGAAGGACAATTTTTTTTTTTTTAACATATCTTTATTGATTTCAGAGAGAGGAAAGGAGAGGGAGAGAGAGAGGTAGAAACATCAATGATGAGAGAGTCATTGATCGGCTGCAGCCTGCAACCTGGGCATGTGCCCTGACCGGGAATCGAACCCTGATCGCCTGGATCCTAGGTCGACGCTGAACCGCTGAGCCACGCCCGGCTGGGCGAGAAGGACAATTTTAAGGACCCATCTCACACTGCCCGGGCTACCCAGAGAAACCTGACGTGTGGACACGTTAGGTTTCACCCACATTTCAGATGTCAGAGTTTGTGGCTGTGCCTATTATTCTAGTTACACATGAGAATCTAGGAAAAACCCACGATGCTCATATGCTGCTCACAGTTCTGTCCATGTGAGGACAAGTTCGACTGAAATCTGCCTGTTCCGTGGGGTTTTAAGGACCCATGTCTAAGGCACAGGGAGCGAGTCTCTCCCATCCTCAATTCTCTTCTTCTTGCACCAATAAAGCGGCCAGTCCTTCTCAGGTGTTGTCCCAAACTGCCACTCACTGCGTGAAGGTGTTCTGGGAACAAGTGTGGCCTCAAGCCCCTAGAAGATCACAGGGCACAAGGACAGAGAGGCCGATGCCATGGACCACCTGCTGTCTGCCCAGCATGACTCCGTAAATGATCTCATGCAGTCCTCCCATGACATTGTCAGGCTCTGTTATTTTTCCAGATATGGCCCAGGGAGGTCATGGGACTTGCCCAAGACCAGGGCTGATAAATGGATTTTGATTCCAAAGCCTGAGCATTTCTGCCACTAAATTAATCCACGGTATGGTGGGTAAAGGCCACACACCCTTTAAAATTGGGGCCTAAGGTGCTTGGAGAGCAAGACTGGAATGGTGGAGGGGCTGCTATGCCAGGCGAGGCAGGCAAGTATGGGGGTGCCTGCCAAAGCAGTTCTTACAGCCCCAAACTCGTCTGTGCTAAAACTTTGTTTCAGGCATGAGGAGCCAGCTACTGTCCCTCCTCTCTTTGGGGGTGGATTCCCCGTATTTGGGGGTGGGGTGGTGGTGACTGCCTCTCCACCCTGGGCTCAGAGGAGGCAGAGGAGCCCTGTTGGCGTGAAAACCCACTGACCTTCCATAGCCTGACCGGAGCCTTCATTAGGCTGCCTCAGAGCCAGGGGCCCAGCGCGGAAGGGTGAGGAAGATCATAAGTGCGCTTGGAAAACCATTCCCTGCTCAGGACAAAGCCTCGGTCCTGGCAGTGGTCATAGCAGGTGACACCCCCGTATCCTAGAGTGACCCTTTGGAGATAGGAACTGGTGAAAGAGTGGCCCTGAGTCTATCTGTGCCATTCTCCAATCTGTTAACAGCAAGGGGAGTCCCAAGAGGCCCAGCCCACCGCTTCTCTACTCGGCATCACCCCAATTCTGAGTAGGGGACAGAGAGGATGTGCGAGACCCTGGTTGCGGAGGAATGAGTCCTGCTGGTCACATGGAGGGGGGGTTCCAGGGTGGCCCTGCTAGAATAAAATTAACCTCTAGCTGGAAGGTGTGAGCCACTGGGATCTGTTCAGGCTCTGTCGCCAGCACTATCAGTTACAGCCTTTCATGGTTAACTCAATCCTGGATTAACTCAATACAGCGTTAATGAGCCTGCCCTTCCAGAGTCCCCGAAAATAACTCCTTTTATTCTGGAATCACATCCTTTCTTAAGGAAAAAATAAGCCTTAAAAACAAAATGGCAACTAAAAGCCTTGTGCTGGTTTCTGGTTAGAATTTAAAGTAGAAACAGATTTTTCAAAGCTGCAGAGCCTCAGACCCTCTCTCCAGAATTTCTCTACTTTTGTGAAACATGGTTACTCAACTCATTTCTTCTCTGTCTTACCCACCCAGCAGCCTAAAGGACAAACCAGCTTATAAAATCACCCGTAAGTCTCCCAACGAATCTCATGATAAAGAAAAGTCACAATACCAATATCAAGTCACTTTGTAAGAAAAATGTCAACTTTTCAGAACATTGTAATCAGGGAGATATTGATGGAGAAAGAGAAATAAAGAGTTGTGTCTGGACAGGCCTCATCTGCTCATACTTGGGTCAGGCCCCATGTTACCCTGCAGGCCATGGGCATACAGGTGGCACTTGCTGCTGTCCCCAGTGGGCTAATGAACACCCCTCCCCCATTCCTCTCCTGCAGCAACAGTGACAGGGCTACCTTGCTTGGCCACAACAGCTGGAGCTGCTGACCCTCAGATGCATAAGACGTGGTAAAAAGACCGACAGTAACTATATTGCCATGAGCCACCTTCCCATGTAACTTACGCGTCCCATTTAATCCTCACATAACCCTACGGCCAAGGCATTGTCATCCTGAAGTAAGGCTGAGAGAGAGAAAACGGTTTTTGGCTAGTAAGTGGTAGAGAACTGGGAGTGTCGTTCTCCAGAGCCCCTAAAGGGAGGCCACGCCATCCTTGGGCGACAGGCGCAGGACCACTCACACAAGGGGGCCTTTGGAAAATGGGTGTTGAGCGGGCTCTTTGCTCATAAACTGTGTATATTGGATTACCCACCTACCTTGTGGGGAATTAGGTACTTCCTTTATCTGGTCAGTATCTGCTTTCGTTTAATACTGCCCTTTTCAGAGACACACCCAACAGTAGGACGTCACACAGGCTGCACCTTACCTTACTTGTCATGCTCACTCTATAGCAGGACAGGGGTTCACCAGACCACACAGCTGCACGGTTTATGGGCTTATTATTAGCGAAACTTACTTAAATCTGCCAAGATTGTAGTTCCACTTTGTGAAAGTCTGCCTGCCTCTCTTTGGAAAACATGTTGAAAAACCACTGTTCATTGGGATCCCCGAAATATCTGCATGTCCAGCAACCTCAAGTGGTCGGGACAGTGCTTAAGAACATAGGCATTGGAGCCTTGCCGGTTTGGCTCAGTGGTCAGAGCGTTGGGCTTGGGACCGAAGGGTCTCAGGTTCGATTCCGGTCAAGGGCATGTACCTCGGTTGCAGGCTGGATCTCCAGCCTTGTTTGGAGGGTGTGTGGGAGGAAACAAATTGATGTGTCTGTCTCACATCTCTCTCTCTGTCTCTCTCTCTCCCTTCCACTCTCTCTGAAAAGCAATGGAAAAAATATCCTCAGGTGAGGATTTAAAAAAAAAGGAAGAACATAGGAGTTGGAACCAGGTTGCCTGGGTTCCAGTCCCTGATCTCATGCTCACTTGGCTGTGTAGCACTGTGCCAGTTACCCAGCCTGTCTGTGTGTCGGTTCCCTTATCTGTAAAACTGTAATAATGAAGTCAATCTTTGGGGTGATGTGAGGATTAGATGATGCTACATGTGAAGCTGGAACAACGCCTGGCACGTAATTAGTGCCACATCAGTTAGTTCAGAGGCCCCTTTGACAGGATACAATTTATTAAAAGAAGAAAAAAAAATGAACTGTTTGAAACTAAACGTAAATGAAATTTCAACTTAGATTTTTATGAATTGAAAAAAAATATATGCTTGCTTTGGTTTTTAGAGGAGTACCATTCAAGGCAGCCCACTTCTTGAATTTTCTCCCCTGACCCGTGAGCCGGAGGGAGCTGCCCTGCGTGGCAACTACACGCTTCCCACAGCTGGTGGCTGTGGTCACGCAGAGGGAGCTCACTGTCCTCAAAAGCAATGCCCCAAACGTTCTCAGTCCTCTTAAATGCATCCATTTCACGTTGAGGGTAAACCAGGGCCTATTTCTGCCACAAGGACTTGACTCCATCTAGCCTGAGAGAGCACGTTATGGTCAGAGGTGCCCAACCTGTGCTGGGTACTGTCCTAGGGGTAACCACACAGGACAGGGACACGTCGTGGATTCTGCCATTCACAGAAACTTACAAAGTGCTCCTGGAGATGAGGGCAAACACGGAGAGGACATGGGGACTGTGACCACGTGTGCACGGCATCAGTCAGTCACCAAAGAAGTAAGTAAAGTTTAAGCGTAAGGACCTGCCTCGCGCAGCTGAAACAAGAGGTGGTTTCGCATGGGCCGTGCTCTCCAGCAGGCNTAAAGTTTAAGCGTAAGGACCTGCCTCCCGCAGCTGAAACAAGAGGTGGTTTCGCATGGGCCGTGCTCTCCAGCAGGCTCCAGGGGGGTGGGCTTTACTGCTTTGGGCTGCTGGAATGCTATTTAGTACTGTTGACACAAAGCCCGTGCGAGCTCCCTGAGCACAGACAGGAACTATTTGGAATTCATAGCTGTGTAGACTCAGAAAGACACTTCACCATTTTCAACACTTGGTGACACTTTATCTTATCTTGGGTGCTTTAGCTCTGTCCCTAGCTATTTAGGAACCAGTCACAAAGTAGATGACATTCCTGTACCATGACTGCAGGACTAAACCGAGTGTGCTCACAGCAGATGCAAGGCATGGCGAGGTGAGCTCATACGTGAGATTTCATTGACTTAACGGTCGCTCTCAGATTTTAATTTTGCAACGATATACTAATGACACAGGTTTTTAAAGAGCAAGTAACTTGTGGGAAAATCGTGCTACATATTTATACGTCTGTTTCTCTGAAATTATGTAAAAGTAAAAACTTATTGATCCTAAAATCAACCTGTTTGAATATTTCAAGAAACTTGGTCTCCCCATTCCCCAAATTCACCCAACTTTATAGCATTTTCTTAAGGCGTATCTATGTAGAAGCAACTATCAAAGCCAAATCATATTTTGGTAGCTGGCATTTTAACCCCAGTTCATTGGAATTTAGAAGTAATCCCCCCAAAACATTATCTTAATCTGCCCAAGTGTCAAAAATGGCTCATTACTTTATATTCTTTTGAAATAAATTCAGAAGAAGGTTTAAAAGTTGAAAAGTTGAGCCCTCACCCAAAACAGCCCCAGAATGACATTTAATTGAATTTAACTTCAGAGACAGAGGACTCAGTTTAGTAAACATTTTACAGACAAACGAAAGTTCACTGTTTAAGAAACTGACTCTGCAGATAAGCAGAGTAAAATAACATTGTCATACAAAAAGACTACATAAGAAACATGATCTGTGGCACGTCCGACTTGCTGAGGGACCCTGGTGTATATTAAATTGCCGCTTTTCGCAGTGGCATTGGGTGACACCATGGCCGAAAGGCCCCAGTGCGCAGGGCACTGAGGGGCAGTGGCCCAGTCCTACCTGTGGTGAGGGCCCTGGCCGTCGCCATGTGCATGATGGTGTTGTCGCTCACAGGCCATTTCTCGGGTGAAAGCACAAGGTGGTCCAGCCCCCCGAGTTTCTGCAGCTCCTCCTGGATCTTCGTGCCTGAAGCGCTGTTCTTGCGGCAGTTTCTGCAGCCGAGAGCATCCCCGACGCTCCCCAGGAGCATCGCAGCCTGAAACTTCTCCATTGCCGAGGCGGCCCCTCCGCCCTCCCGCTGCGGAGCGCGACCAGCCTTTGTTGCTTCCCGGCAGCAGCAGCCTTCAGTCCACCCCACCGACCTCCGTTCTGGCCATTGTGTCGCTGTCAAGAGCCTCCTCGAATGGCCAGGCACTACTTTTCTGTCTGCAGGTGGCACCAATGAGAAAACCTTTCTGGACCCCGCAGCTCACAGCGCCTTCTGAAGAGCCACGTGGAAGTGTCAGCTTCCTTCAGCGTCAGGACAGACAGACGCTCTCTGCAGGCTTATCCAGAATATGTAGGCAGCACCCAGGACACCCCCAGGCGCTCTCTCACAAAGCAGTGACTTGTCAGTAGTGAATCTTTGCCCAGCGTTCTCGAAGAAAGGCACACACTTCTAGAGCTTTAAGATGTAATTCACACACCACGGAATCTACCCGTGTTCAGTGCACAGTGTGACGAGCTTGTGTAAAGGGATACTGCTTGTCACCAGAGACCAGCTTGAGAACACTTCTGTCACCCAAAGTCCGCTTTGCCCATCTGCTCCGTTCTCCCCACCGCACCCCTGGCAACCACTTATCTGCTTTCTGTCTTTATAGTTGTCTTTTCCAGAATTTTAAGTAAATGGAGTTATGCATTATGAGGTCTTTTGTGTCTGGCTTCTTTTACTTAGCATAATGTTGAGATTCATCCATCATGGTTTTATTTTTTGGGTTAGAAAATGTGTTTATGATAGAACGCTGAGAAAATGAGAAGTGTAAAGAAATAAAGCATACCCGGCTCCAGTGTGAAAGATTATTAAGTGTTCTCACAACTCAGTGTTCAACAAAGGGCTCTCCAAATGACCAGACTTCAGACTGCAGTGTGTGTGAGCAGAGGGCAGAGCCTCGCAGTGGCACCCATGATGGTGCCATCAGCTTCATGTATTTAAACGCCCGGTTGTCGATTCACAGTAAGAACGTTCAAAGATACGAAGAGGCTGGGGGGAGATGGAATGTGTAAACCAGGAATCTTGATGAAACAAGGAGTTAGGGAAGCAGTCCATCTCACTGTCCCCAGGCCCTGGAGAGTGACAGCGTCCCCACTGGGACCATGCTTCCCCCTTGTCCCTCAGGACAGGGGCCACACAGCATACCAGGTCGCACCTGGACTTAAGAAAGACATCTGCTAAAAACAGAATTTCTTTCAATAATAACGCGATGCTAGAATACATTTAAATGAACATACAGCACTGTAACAGCCCTTGTTAAAAATGAGGTTCTGGAATATCGCAGCGAGCACTGAGAGGTTCTGAGGCTGATAGTCCTTCACAGCCAGTACCAATGGCCCCGACTTTCTGGGTATGTGGGTTCCTTGTCCAATAGGACACGACAGACAACAGCAGCCTTCTATTTAGACAACCTCCACTGTAGGTAGAACAGTATCATTTGGCAGAAACATTGGTGAGGGCAGAGGTATAGTCTAGGGCTAGTTCCATTTGCTAATTCTGAGGCAGTGGAAACATTTATTGAAGATGCTAGGAGCGCCTCCATACTATCTGGCCTATGTCAGCAGACAGGAAGAGGTCATATGAGTTCACTAATTTGCTCGTTCAACATTTACTGAGCCCCGACTGTGTGCTACCAACTGTGGATACAGCAACTAACAGACGAAATCTGCCTCCATGGACCCCGAAGTCTGAGAAAGGTATAGTATCACGCTTGAACTTTCACTGAGTTAAAGTAACACAAGGACATGCAGTGTCACCAAAGCAAAAAAAGAGATGACATCTATTTCAGAAATTCTTGTCAGGCACTGTATGAAGGCACTGGTAATAAATATTTATTAAACTTATTATGTTTGGTTAATTTGTGTATTTTCAATATATTTATTGCTTGCATTTCAGTGCATTCTGGTTATATAATTCCTATCAACTCAAAGGCTGTGTATTATGAGATCTGTAATTTTTCACAGATGAAAACCATACTTAGCACACTATGTGACACTTAAAAAAAAACTAAATGAAGCTGTCAATTTTGGGACATGATCATTAACTAGGGTGGCAGGCTGGAAACAGGCGGGAATATCCCGTGTCACTGTGCTATAGAGGTGGCTTTCCTGTCAGTCCCATGACAGATCAACACCCTGACATCTAGTGGTGAGAAGTGGAGCAGCCGAGGATAGAATTAAAAGTACACCACACCACCAGAGAAAATAATTTATTTTAATGTTTCCAAAGTTCTTAGCACTTTCATAGCATGCATGACTTAAATGTATATGGCAGAAGAAAAAGAAACCCACAATTTTTTGAAGAGCCTTTGTCCAATTACTAATGTTTTGATATCTACTGAGAAGTCCATAGAACATTTTTTCCTCATATAACTTTAAATCTTAGGAATAACAGTTTCTGAGCAGAACACTTACATGTCAAGAATGCATGAAGCTTGAAGGATGCTTTACATTAGTTGAGGTTTTTATTAAAGCTAGCTTTTATTATATAAAATAAATGCTCTCTTAGAATCGCAGACTTACGGATAGAGATGGCCTTGCTTTTCCTTTTGTAGACACGAAAGTGGAGGCTGGGAGAGGTGAAGGAACTTCCCTGGGCCCTGCACCTGGTTATGGCCGACGACCCCGTCTGGCCTGTGGTCTCCAGGCCCCCGCCCCTTTCCCACCCTCCCCGGCCTGCTGCCCTCTTTGACAGACTTCCATTCAAAAGTATGAATAGTCCACAGAGTAAGTACACGCAAACCTCACGTTGTACATGGCGCTTCCTAAAACACCGAGTGAATCACATTTTTGGAACTCAAATCAAAACGACATATTTTAGGCACACGTTCTGTTTACAAGAAATTTGAAGTGAATTTCCTCTGTCCAGAAATAACTCCAATTCATTTGTCTCATGAACAGGGTTACGGGCAGGGCAGCAGGCACACTTGTGACGGGAAGATCTTTTCGAATATGAGGTAGGGTCCACACAGTGATTTTTCAAAACTCTACACAGAGCTTTTCCAAAAGAAGAGCAGGTGCATCGCAGGCCTCCGCCTTTGGACAAGCACCCCATCTATCCCTGTGCTGCAAACACCAGAAAATTCGAAGGGCAACCTGAGGCAGAGACAAACTTCAGCTCGCAAATGAGATGAAGGTTTCCGATTTGGTTGTGTGTGTTTTTGGACAATGATGTATTTTAGCTTCCAAATGTGTACAACCATACAAAGGGCTGGAGAGTGGACATTATGGATATTAACAGATATTTGAAAGGAACCAACTCACTTGATTTTTAAATCTATAATTCATCATTCATAAAAGAAATATTCTTCATGGAAAAATGTCTTTTTAAGTATAATAAAATACATTTCTTTAAAAAAAATACTTTACGAAACTTCTTAGGAAGTTCAAATGACATTATTAGAAGTAAAATAGACCTGACTTGTGAGCAGTTTAAAATAACACTTTCCGGGAATTATCACATATACATGTGCCATCGCTGTGGAGACTGTAATGGCTATTAAAAACTATAAAATGATTTTCAGATGAACATCTAGAGAAAATTAAAAGAAAAATAGATCTGGTAAATCTAGATATTCGATAATTCAAAAAATATAAATCTTGAATTCCTGGTACCAAAAATGTTAGAATCCACGACAAGATCATTTTCTTTTGGGGACATTTTAAACAGCTTTGACTTGTATAAAAATACAACATCCTACCAAGGACACAAATCCTTTTTTTTTTTAAGTGTAATTACAATATAATTCAGCGGAGCATAGTACTGCTGGTGTTCACCTGAAATCATGAGTTAACAGCATGCTCTGCAGTCCTGCAAGCAGGCTTTAGGTACTGTTTCATAAATATAAAAATCATGCAGAAATCTCCTAAAGCAATAGGTATGTGACCCAGCTCCAGACATCCTAAAGCAGCTATCTTCTGAGGATCCCCTAACGGTGTCGAAGCTTAGCCATCACTTTCTTTAAGCAGAGTGAGATGGTCATTCCAGTTCGTGACTGGTCAAGGATGACTTCTGAAATCAGTGACGTATGTCCACAGAAATTGACCACAATGCCTCCTTGCAGGTGGCAGTTCATTTTATAATCCTAATCCATTTTCATTTTCTGCCTAGAAAGGGCTATGTTTGCCACCTGTGACTACTGGCCGTGCGTATTCTACAAAATCATCTATAAGAACAGGCCATGCTCCTAAAAAAAATAAAATAAAATAAAAAAAAATTATGTTTTAGAGCAATATTTTTTTTATTCAGCACTTTTTTTCATAATCTAACACTTATACAGTAGTTCAAAAACTCAAATGACTTTTAGTTTCTACAGTTTGTGCTTCACTTAACTGCTGAAGTTACCCACCTATGCTCTAGCCGGACCAGGCTGGCAGATATTGGTGTGCTCGCGTGGGCATGGCCCTCTCTAACAATGGTGGCACACAGGGCTAGCTGGCCCGTGTGTTCCCACTGCAGCGTCATGGCCCTCAGCCCCTGCACCAGGCAGTCAGGACCGGAGGAGAGGACCCTTTGCCCTCCCAGGAAATAGGTGCAGCCACCTTCCTCCACTAGGGATGCTGTTTTCTCCCTGAGTCGTGTCCCCTCCCCCAAGCCAGCCCACCCTCACCCAATCCAAGTGGCCCCCTAAATACTCAGACACCACCCATTAGCCAGCCATATACTCCCTATTTCACATTTTGGCTCCGTTTTGTGGAGATGTGCCTTGTCTCATCCATTATAGCTAGAGCTCCTAAAAGAGGGGCTTCTGTCTGAGGTCCACTATTCACCCGCTCATTCAACACACTGATTAGCTCCCTACTCTGTGCCAGGGAGGGTGTGCAGTGCTGAGGACAGAGACACTAGCATTACACTGGCAGCTACCACCAGGGTGGTGAGTGCTGCTGCTAAAGCGCCTCCACTTTCTAGAACAAAGAGGAGTGCTGAGGAGGATGTCCCAGAGGAAGTCGCCTCCTAGCTGGGCACCGAGGAAGCAGACAGCGGGTGGAGTTCTGGAGAATGAGCATTCCTTTCCAAATGTAGCTCATTGCACAGCAGGCTTCAAATGCTCCCTGACTGAGTGTCCCAAAATATTTAGGGGTAAGGGCTACTAAATGTGTGACTGCATTCAAGCAGGTAAATATAAGCTAGAATCATCAAATAAGCTTAAATAGCCTAATGACCTGAGGCATCAAATGGAATTACTTACTTGGAGCAGCCTTTCCCAAACACCTGTCTAGTTCTATGGTTTTGTTATGGGGCTCTCTGCATGGCCATATTTTAAAGGCTTTAGTTTAGAGAATTGTCTTTTTTATTAAATAAATAGGAAACCTTATTTTTCTTTTGTGTGATTTACAAGACATAATGAAGTAGATACTATTATTATCACCACCACCTCCATTTCACCAATGGGGTAAGGCCAGGAGTCAACTGGGTACCGTCTGACCCCAGTGTCTGTGTCACCAGCACTGTCCTGTGCTCGAGGGGCAGGAAAAGTTGGCATACATATCAGCATTCCTGGCAATCACCTGAAGTGCTACAACTTCAACTTCTCATACCTTCTTCATCATAGTTAGACATGTCATCTGCAATCATATTTCCAAAATCTAGCAGAAGGTTCCAAGTGTCCCTTGGGATGGATCTTTTGTGATGTTCCTAATACATTAGAGAAAAAAGCCACCAGATTTAAGACAGAGACGTAACTCCCAGGTGTTCTAGCAATCTAGTTATCTCAGTATATAAGTTGATGAGGAACAAGGATCATAAGAAAACTGTTAAAAGTTAAAAATAGTGCTTTAGATAAACATAAAGAGCTACAAAATGCTGATGTGCAAATATAGATAGTAAATTTGTTGCCACACAACCTGCTGACCCCCCTTCGCCCTGGGCTCATGGGGCAAGAAGCAGGAAGACACTTACCAATAAAAAGGTGTTCCAAAGATCTAAAAACTTAAACCTTCCAGATAATACTAAATTCCAATATGCAACGGCCATTTCTAAATCTGGCAAAAAGAGAGAAAGAGCAGTTAGTAAATCCTAACTTCTTTTTCTATTGCACAAAAAACAATCACTTCTTTGCACAGTGATATTCACTTCATAAAATTCAGCAGTCCTACCAAGAGTAACATGAGGCTTAATCCTTACAGATGTGTTCCCAAAATTATGTGTAATCTAATTTTAGAACTCTGGGCAAATGTCTTCAAAAAAGGATATGAGTTTTATGTTATTCGAACCTATAAATAACTATCTTCTAATTAATAATTTTTGGAGACTCTCATTTTCATATATATCAGGCTTTCTTTAAACCTGAACCAACCTGGATACTATTAATACATATCAATTATTTTTTTGAAAAGTAGACCAATGTGCTTTCTAAGTAATGAACTACCAGTTAAACAACTTGTTTAGAAAGCGACAGTGTTTTCCAAACAGACTTGCCTTGTCACTATAAAAACTGAAACAGTATCTGATTTCAAGTTAAATTATATAAGCTTTGTAAGGGCTTTGAATTTCTCAAGGCATAGTCAAGACAAATAAGCAGGTTTAGGGAAAAGCACTTTCACTGATATAAGGAGAGTTAAAAATCTGGATGGTTATTAACCAAAGTCAATGTTTTCATCTTTCCCCAACTGGAGGGTAGTGATTATTTCACCAGTTCTGCATAAACCTATGTTGTAGAGCTCAATCTTAAAATGATGTGTTAATGTAATGCGAATGCTGAGTTTTAGGGCTGTGTTAGAATATTATCCCCTATCCATAATTGCTGGAATACTGAGATCTATTCTCTGCTTGCCAGAAGTTTAATATCTACTTCTTTTTATATGCTTGACAGAGAAAGTACATAAAAAGGCCAAGAAGTTTACTTCTTAAAATCATTACCCTTTGACCATGCTGAATAGTGCTCACCACTTTTAGATAGTAAAAAAACAGTTATAATGAAATACTTTCCTAATTATATATTTACATATGTATGTCAAATAAACTAATGTGAAAAGCGGGTGAATAAATATTTAAGGTAACAGATCATCTTAAATGCAAAATACTAAAAGATTTTCATCTAAATCTTGTTTGGTCCCACTTGGACAAAGATTACTAAAGTTACAGCTCTAACTTGAGATTTCCAGGGTCGATCATTATTAAAAAGAGATGTATGAACAGCGATCAACTTTACATAAAATACCACATTCCGTCTGTGTTTGAAGTCCATTATAGACCTCCTCAGTCTTAAATACCCTGCAGTCACTCAGAAAGAAAGAAACGGTCAGAAAGTTTCAAGGAACCAAGAATGCAGAAAGGCTCGCTGAACCTTACCTATGGGGCCCGCAGTAAAATGCTAAGATGATTAGTCTTGTCCTGCTAAGTCTACATCCTTACCACTTAGGAAGAACGTTAACTGAAATCTATACTCAACTCATCTTAATGATGAAAAGTCTCACACTGAGAAATGGAGGTAAACCTGGGAAGGAAAAAAAAATAGTTTTATGGCAGACATTTAATCTAGTTACTTTTGGACTAGTGTGGTCCTAGGAATCTCTCTTATAAAGTTCCTGATTTGTATGTTTGTAAACCACATGACCAAAAGTAAATGTATGCATTGTCAATATTTAATATTATTACCTTGTAAAATTTTTAATATTATCCTAATGGACTTAGCCATTTGCAAAACAACAACAACAAAACTCAAAGTGATAAAACTTGAGAGCTGAAATCAAGAACAAGAGTTACTCTAGAGGCTATAAAAATCATTCTCATAGCAGCTATTTTCTTTCCAATAACCTCTGAAAACTCTTATCCCCTCAGTAAGAAGATGTTTAGAAGAAGGTATTACTGTTTAAAATCTATATGTTACTCCATTTAGAATTAGATAATAAAGATGTCCCTTCTCTCAAAAAAATCCCATCTTTGGGCAGATATAAAAATTAGCTAATCACGAGACTACTACAAACCAAGATTTCTCAAAGCAAACTAATTCTCACTTTGAAAAAATAAAGCTAAGGCCCTGGCCAGGTAGCTAGCTCAACTGGTTAGTGTGTCATCCCAATATGCAAGGTTGCAGGTTCAATTCCCGGTCAGGGCACATACGAGACTCAACCAATGAATGCATAACTAAAACAACGAACTGATGTGTCTGTCTGTCTGTCTCTCTCTCTAATCAATTTTTTAAAAAAAGACTAAATGCTTAAAAAAAAGGAAAATGAAGCTAAAAAAGACTGTAAGAATTAAACTACTGAAAAGAAAAGCATTATCTAAATTTTCCTTTTGAAGTATAATAATCATCACACTCAGAGCTAAACTAGCTAAATATTAGGAAAGCCGTGGGAAGCATTATTTCTAGTTCAGGTGGATATTACTTAGGAAAAATCAGGAAATGGAGAGAAGGGTGTCTTTTTGTTTTTTTTAAAGGCAGCATTAGAACAAATAATATCCATGGCAGAAAGAACCACCTGTTGGGAACAGAGCGCTTGTCCTCGGCACATGAGCAAGTCTTATCACGGATGTCCCAAGAACGCCGAATGAGCCCAACCCAAATCTTCTTCAGTACTGTTATTCTGTTGTCTGTTTGTCTGTTAGTTTCTAGAATACTGGGTGATCAAGGTGTAAACTAAAACAGGCTTAATTTTTAGTGACTATTTTGCTTCAGCCTCTTAAGAAGGAATAGAGCAGAAGAGAGGAGATCAGAAGCAAGAGTTTTAGTTCCAAAAGTAAAAGATCAGCTGATAAAGAACAGTTTTCTGCACACCCACTAGGATGGCTATCATATATATTAACAACAACAAGAAGCAGACAGCAACACGTGCTGGTGAGAATGTGGAGCCATCGGAGCCCTGTGCACTGCTGGTGGGAACGTAAAATGACACAGCTGCTGTAGAAAACAGTATGGAGGTTTCCCCCCCAAAAATTTAAACACAGAATTACCATATGATCCAGTAATTCCACTTCTGGGTGTTTACCCCAAGGAACTGAAAAGCTGGGACTTGAGCAGGTATTTGTACACCCTTGTTCACAGCAGCCTTATTCACAGTAGATAAAAGGTGGAAACAACCCAAGTGTCCACTGACGGATGGATAAGCAAAGTGCGGAAATACATACAGTAGGTTATTATTCGGCCTTAAAAAGGAAGAAAATTCTGACACATGGACAGAGCTTGAGGACATTATGCTAAATGAAATCATGAGTAACAAAAGGACCAACGCTGTATGATTTCATTGATGTAAGTTACCTGAAGTAGTCAAATTCAATGAGAAAGCAAATGGAGTGGTGGCTGTCAAGGGCTGGTGGGAGGAAGAATGGGGAGTCATTATTCAATGGGGACAAAGTTTTAGTCTGGCAAGATGAAAGAGTTCTACAGATGGATGATGGTGATGGTTGGACAGCAATGTGCCACTGAGCTGTACACTTAAAAACAGTTGAAATGGTTTTAAAAAACCCCAAGGACCCCAAACTTGATGATTTAAGAACAAGCAGTTACATGCCTCAGCCTCTCCTTTCTATCCTCTGACAAGCAATTGATGAAAACTTAACACTCAAAGGCACTTAGAAGGGTCCTTGGAATGGTGGTAGAAGAGGTAGCATAGTTTTTAAATTTCTCTGAATCTTCATATAAAAACAGATAAAGCAACTAGATAGCAGTCCAAAACTTAAAGGCAACATTAACAATGAAATCAGGTGAGAAAGCATTACCATGAACCGAAAATATGCGTAGGAAAGGATAGACCCTTAGCAGCCACAAGACCTGCGTGGTGTGTGGGAAGGGGGGTCAGTGGGGCACAGGGTCTCTGATGGGTATGGCGACAGGGGGCCTCAGAGCAGCCAGCAGGTGTTCACTGCAAAGCCTGGCCAGGATGAGGTGAGGACAGAACCTACACTGGGTCATTGCTGTGACCAGTGGGAGGTGGGTGCAGGGACCTGCCACAAAGGCTGTAGGGGCTGAGGCAACCTGGCTCCCACGAACCTCAGAAGTGACCTACTACAGCACCTTCTAGACAGTATCTCACTGTAGAGAGGCAGCTGGGAGTGCACAAGTTAAACAGGAAAGAACCACAGAGACAAGAGATAAAAAACGGGGCAGAGGGATAAGGCGAGAAAATCTTAGAAAGCAAGCTTTGCATTATTGTACATGACACTCATACATGTACACAGATGCATGTGTGTGTGCAGGCACAAACACGTGCCCACGTGCACACAAGCAGCACATCATGCACACTTGTGCAAGCACCCCTCCCAGGGGGCGTAGCTCTATGAAGTTAGAACGCTGCCCTGAACCACCCTCATTCTAAAAGTCCAGGAAAGCTCATTTCACATGAGTATGAGCAAGAGAAAAGCACTGGGGTCAAATCTCTTACAACACTGTCCTAAGAAAAAAGATAGTACAGTACATCCCCAGAAAATGAATGTATGCCAGGAAACATGCCAATACAGATCAAAATTGTGACCTCCCATTTCAAAACAAGCTAAAAGACATCAAGAAATGACACAAAACATGAAAGAACATATATCAGAATTAGAAAAACTCAGAAACAAGGGGACAAAACTCAAGAATGAGAAATTTAAAAAATCATTTCAGAAATACCTAAGAGAGACACAAGGGCAAATACATTCAACCGATAAAAGAATGAGAGGTGAAAAAAAAGAGGAGAGTTTTTAATAAAAAACAAAGTAGAGATGAAAAGCGCTTGAGAGAAAGTGACCAGCTGGACTCAGGCCTCTGGACTCAACTGCCAACTGTCACCCCCAAATAACACAGCACGCAGTGTGGCTCTTCGCCTCCACATGCAGTCATTCAGACTCTGCATCAGCACCGCCACAGTCTGACTTGCCACCTCACAGGGTGTCACAGAGCCAATAACATTTTATACGTTTTTCGTAGTCTTCCCAACGTAAGTAAAATAGAGAATACCACTTACACTGTTAAATAAACCAGGGTTTGGCAACCTAAGAACTTCCTCGACGACGGAAGGTACCACTGCGCAGCCTAAGGCTAAGTTCCTGGCACTCCCTGCGCTTCCCGTGTCCTTCTCGTCTTTCAGATGCCCCTCTCTCAGAGGGTCATGACACCTGAATGCCGACCTGCTTCAGTGGCAGCCACCCAATCCTTGCTGGAGTGGAAATGGCAGCGAAGGTATACTTCCTCCAGGCCTTTATAAGGTTCCTGAAGAGAAACAAGTCTTTACGGTGGAAAAGAATGGAGCTACAATAGATCAGATAAAATAATAAAGCTGAGGCTGAAAGTGTGATCAGGTAGTTGGGTCTGTCGTGGTCAGTCTTGGATCTGGACATCGGAGTGGCAGAGAAGACACAGGGGCAGCCAGTGAATCCCCAGCTGAGGCGGCACCGCTGGGGTGACATGCTGTTACTCCACTCCAAATGTTAGCCCTCGCTGCTGAGTAGCACTGCACAAGTGATTTCTTTTTAAAGTATGCCAAGTATTTTCATTTTCCCAGGAGCACAAGACCATGAGTCCAACTCTCCACTCTGCATCAATCCAACGGGAGTCATCTGAAATTCTAATTTAACCGAGGCCCTGCTACCAATGTCTCAGAGTCCTGCCTCCCTGCAGTCCTTCTGGAAGGGCCTGGAAAGCTCTTCTTCAGGCAACACACCGATAAGCACAGACAGCCCAGGGGCAAATCAGGGCCTGTGCCTGCAGTGGCCCCTCAGCCCCCTTATCTCAGTCGGTTGACCTCATGTTGTTCTCTATAAGGAGCGAGAACAGACAAAACCCAGCTGCTGCTGCTGCTTCTCACTGCTCACACTCAACTGTCAACCTGGTGAGCCGCAGACTCTCCTGTCCATTCAGTCTGTGCGCTTGGTTGCAAACCAGATCCTTCACTGATGTCAGGCCAGACAGGAAATCAATCATTTTCTTCCCAAACAAATGTGTCAGAACCAACTCCTCCCATGGGGTCCCACAAAAGTTTTCCATGACCTTGGCTCTCTGACTCATGACAAAATGGGGAATGTGGGAAGCCCTGTGATGTAGGAAACTCCTCGCTGCTGCCCCTTTATACAACTGACACCTCTATTTGCTCACGGTTTCCCTGAAGAGGAAAAATAACATTCGTCCCTTCCCAGCAGTTCTCCCATTTCCACCTTCTGGAGTTTTAAGTAGATCCATTCAAGTAAGTTCCTGAACGGGACGCCTTGAGGTTAGAGGCCTTTATCACTCCTCAGGTGGCAGGTGCATGATCTGTGAGGTGCCTTGCAGGGCAAGAAACCCGTCCACATGGTGGACCAACCTAGATAAAGGGAATCTGACAAGAGACTCATCACAGTGTGATGCACCAACAGTAAAAACAAATGACCTGCAACAGTGGAGAAAACAAAGAAAACGATCCCTGCCATGGGAACTAGGAAATACTGCTTAGGAAAAGAAAGCTGCCTGTCTTCCTGCTCTGAGACAGAAGAGCCTGCTGCCACCTTCCTGAACTGAGGGAGAAGTGCCTACTGCCATCACCACGGTCTGAGACAGAAGACCCTACTGCCCATCTCCCTGATCTAACCCAGAAGTGCCGGCTGCCTCAATCTGCACCTGCACTCGATCTGCCGATAGAAGGAAAGGAAGAATGTCAGAAAGACAGAGGCATAAAAATGTCTACTGCACACACACCTGCAAACATGCACAAGTGAAATCAGGACCGGAAACTAGATGCCTACAGTGGATTTTTCTATGAATTTTCAAGCCCCTTTCAGGTTTCCTATCTAATTTTGACCATCATATATTATTGCTTTTATTTATAAAAACTTTTCTTTGAAATGTACTAATATACCTGTTTAATCCCTATATAACTCCCCCTTCCAAACTTGTAAGAGATCTGAATGAACTAAATGTAAATAAGTTCTGTTACATTAGGCAACAAACTGTCAGTCAATACAGATTTATTTTTACAAAGAGATAAGACAAAAATAAACTATATAGTACTTAGGGGCAAAACAAAGGAAAATAAGCAGAATAAAACCCTCAAATAAACCCAAAATTCAAACTAAAATTTTAAGTTAAAAGTTCTCCGAATGTAGCACACACAGTAATATACAAGTTATATCATAACAAAATCATACAACTCTGAAAGAAGTCCAAGCATACCTCAGAGATGCTGCAGGTTCAGTTCCAGGCCACCACAATAAAGCAAACATCACAATAAAGAGAGTTGCACACACTTTTTGGTTTTCCAGTGTATATAAAATTTATGTTTACACTATACTATAGTCTATTAAGTGTGCAATGGCATTATGTCTAGAAAACAATGCACATACCTTAATTTAAAAATACTTTATTGCTAAAAGAGGCTAACCATCATCTGAGCCTTCAGGGAGTTGTAATCTTTTTGTTGGTGAAGGATCTTGCCTCAGTGTTGATAAAAACACAGTATATGTGAAGCACAATAAAATGAGGCGTGCCTCTACTAAAGTAATCCAATGCACATCTGAATTGGTCTTGAGTAAGTTAAGTTTAAATCTCCAGATTAGGACAAGACTAATGTCACCTGGCAATCTTAGCTACGCCATCGGTGGGATCACGCACCTGGCCAGTACAAACATGCCCACTGTCAACATTAATTGCTGACCTCTCTAACTCATATCAGTATGAGACAACATAGATCATTTGCAAATTCATTTACATTTTAAAATTTAAGTATTTAAACCCAGAATTTGAGAGCGATATCAGTTGAGGTATTCGAGTATATGGTACTACAAACTGGTCTATCTGCACATGGAGCAAATCAGAGACAGAAAAAAACAAACGCAAAGAGGGATGGGAACACTACAGCAGGCAGGATCACGCCCCCTTACAGTCTCAAGATGTGGCTTCTTCCAAGTTTGGATTTTATACTCACCTAAACCTTTTTGCCCAGGGTTCTTAGCAAAGGTAAAGGTAAACTGGTAGAAATCCTTAAACTTCACTGTGTCCTTAAGCTCTTGCTCCAATCTTGGCAGAAGAGCTTTCAGCTTTTCTGTGCTGTCACACCTGTGATGAGAGATGGAGACAGCGCTCAGCAGACAGGTCTCCCCAATCCCGAGAAAGTCCTCAACTTCACTGTGACTTGGTGCAGCCTGAGGCTTGGGTCTAAGGGGGGTAGGTAGGTGGAATTCTCGTGGGCCCGTTTCTCTAGCTCAAAATGCTCCACACTGATTGTGGTGATGGCTGCAGAGCTCTGTGAATACACAGAAGCCACCAAGTTGTACACTGTAAATGGGTAAACTGTACGGCCTGTGAATTATATCTTACTAAAGTTGTCTTTAAAAGAAAAAAAATCAAAACCCAAAATTGCTTGCCCTCTTCTGTGTGAACTGAAATAGGACCATGGTTTCACTCTGCAGCTGTGATATCAGAGGCCAATGCCCTGAAATGACAGAGTGACAAGACCCCATTTTCTCTGCCAGTCTGTACCACTGCTACTGCTGTACTGTCCTACGAGAGGAAAATAAACCTGTAGCACTTAAGCTAAAGGTTTCTTCACTGTAGTGGGTTAGATTTAAAATACCCAAGTATAATAAAAATCTCTATTGTTTTAAAATTGAATTGTCCTCCAAAGTCAATAAACTTTAAGAATATTAAAAAGCCTTAAAAGCAGAATCTAGAATAGCAAAACATAAAATTCGTCATTTTTATTTTGACTGCACAGCAAGGAAGAGAAGAAAAGTAATACTTTACTTATCCATGCACCCAAGCAGAGCAGGGCTGCGGAAAGACAACGGAGAACGTCTTGGAGTGGCCAGAACCACTCACAGACCAGCAAGTCCATGAACACACTCAGGGGCACAAATGCACACCTTCAGGGACTGTCATGGGTGCTCCTCAGTGCAGCCCACTCACATCAGGAACCTGGGTGTGGCTGCAGGCCCCTCCCCATTACAACCCCTTTCCTCCACGTGGTCACTTCCTTGCTCTTCTTGATGTCTCCATCACTCCAACAAGCACTCCTTGACAGTGTGCCAGTTACCCCAGTTTCTCAGCTTCTTAAAATTTTGTTGTTAATCCTCACTCGAGGATATTCTATCCATTGGTTTTTTAGAGAGAGAGTGTGTGTATGTGGGAGAAACATTGGAGAAACACTGATGTGAAAGAGACACATCGACTGGTTGGCTGGGGATCGAACATGCAATCCAGGTACATGCCCTTGACCAGGAATTGAACCCATGGCCTTTCGGTGCACAAGCCGAGGGCTGTTTCTGAACTTTTAAAATGGGAACTCACAGTGTGTATTATTCTGTGTCTGGCTTTCTGTCATTTATGCTGACATGTGTGGCTGTGGTTGGCTCATTTCTGTTGCCATATAGCATTCCACTATATTCATATTTCATAATTTATATATTCTACTGATGATCAATATTTTGGCTGTTTCTAGTTTTCTGGTTACAAAGAATATTGTTAAAATATTTCTGTACATGGCCTGGCCGGCATGGCTCAGCGGTTGAACATTGACCTATGATCCAGGAGATCTTAGATTGATTCCTGGTAAGGCACATGCCCAAACTGAGGGCTCGATCCTCTTCGGTGGGGCGTGTAGGAGGCAGCCGACTAATGACTCTCTCATCATTGATGTTTCTATCTCTCTCTCTCCCTCTCCTTTCCTCTCTCTGAAATAAATAAAAAAATATATATTTTAAAAATGTTTCTGTACATGTATCCTGGCACACACATGCATGCATTATGTTAGCACACCCAAGAGCAGAACAGCTGGGTCACATCGCCTAGGCACCTTCAGTTCAATAAGTAACGTCAAACCGTTTTCCAATGGGATCGTCCTACTTTACACTCCCACCAGTACACTAGAGTTCCTGTTGCCTCACATGTTCACTAATATTTGTAACTGTGTCTTATTTTAACCATTGCAGAGAGTGGGTTTTAAGGTTCTATTTCACTGCAGTTTTAATTTGTACTTTTCCAATGAATGAGATTTGAGCACATTCTTGTATTTTCACTGGTCATTTGGAAATTCTCCTTTGTGAAGCGTCTGTTCAAGTCTCTTGCCCATTTTCAATTAGGTTATATTTTTCTTATTGTTTTATAGGAGATTTTTATATCTTAGAGATGCAAGTCTTTGTCAGTTAAGTATTTTTAAAGTACCTCAGAATATGGGCTGCCTTTTCACTTCCTTGGTGGTGTTTCTTGATGATCTATTGTTTTTAGTATAGTACACTCTAACAATCTTCTTCTTTACAGTGTTTTCTTAGTGATGTTTTATAATGTTTCCAACTGTATGATCATAAAGATAGTCTCCTACATTATTTTCTAGAGGCTCTGCCTTTAGCCTTTTACATGGAGATATACAATCCACTTGGACTGATTTTTATGTATGGTGTGAGGTAGGGATCAACATGAATTTTTTTCCATGTGCCAATCTTCCCAGGACCATTTACTGAAAAGATGTTCTTTCTCCACTTTCCTAAAATGCTGCCTTTGCCATACTCAAATGTACCTGTATACATGGATTTGTTTCTGGGCCTTCCATTCTGTTCCACTGGTGTATTTATCTATTCTGGTACACAATACAGTCTTAGGTACTATAGTTTGAAAAGTCCTGACTATCTGGTAGAGCAAATTTTCTCACGTCGTTCTTTTTTTCTTTAAGAATTGTTGGCTATTCTTGACTGTGCATATTCATATAAATTTAAAATCTGCTTGTCAAATTACACACACGTAAGCCTACTACTTATTAGAGATCATATTAAATGTATAGATAAATTTAGGGATCAGACACTAAGTGGTCCAACTTATAAATGAGGTATATTTCTCCATTTATTCAGGTTTCTTGTCTCTCACTGAGTTGTTTTCTCTATGGAGGTAGCACACAATATTTAATTAAATTTATCCTAGGTGTTTTGTAGTTTTGATGCTACTGGAAATGACATTTTAAAAATTTGCTTTGTTTTGTTGCATTGTTACATTCAGTGTTTGTTTGTTTTTAAATATATATATATATATATTTCTTTATTGATTTCAAAGAGAGGAAGGGAGCGGGGTAGAGAGAGATAGAAACATCAACGGTGAGTCATTTATCAACTGCCTTCTGCATGCCCCCTACTGGGGATCGACCCCGAAACTAGGGCATGTGCTCTGACAGGGAGTCAAACCTTGATCTCCTGGATCATAGGTCAATACTCAACCGCTGAGCCATGCTGGCAAGGCTATATTCAGTGTTTTGAAATATTATCAATTTTTGTTTACTGACCTTGTGTCCTACACTCTGGTTAAACTCAAAGCTTGAGGCTACAATAATCAAGACTATGTGGTGTTGGGTGAAGGACAAATAGACCATGGAATACAATAGAGAACCCAGAAATAAAACAACACAATTTTTTTGTTTTTACAAAGATGTCAAGGTATTTCTTTAAGTTTACTGAGTCTACTTAAGAATCCTCAAGCCTCCAACTAAAGTATGTAATATTAACTGTTAAAGGTGGTACTCTAGCCACAGTCAATAGTTAACAGCCAGGAAAAAGTGTGAAAAAATAATTATAGAGCAGACACAAAAGCCAAAGTATATTTTAAAGCTTAGTGCTATTTACACTAGAAGCCAACAGTCCTTTGCATCCCTAAAAAGCACTGAGATTGTCTTTATAATACACTTTACTAGTACATGGATGATACTTTCACTTAGTACATAGCACTTTAATATTTATAAAATGTTTTCACCTCTAATTGCCCTGTGAGATGTGGAGAGCAGTACCATTAACAATCATTAACTGGTAATCTTAAGTTATATTCTCTATACTCCATATAAGAGGGCATGAAATTATCTAACACATTTTACAAAGATTCAGGCACAAACTCTTTAATGTTTTTTAAGTTATGACACTTAACAGGATAACAGACAAGAATTTAAAAAATTTACTTGTATAAAATATTTCTAGACAATGCCAGTAAGTGTTTTTATAAGAAGCACTTATTTCCAAATCTCTCATTTGGGGGAGATTTTAATAAATAAGATAATGTATAGTATTATGCTCATGGAATACTTCTTTACTAGGTTGTTTTCCATTCTAAAACTGCTGGTAATTCATCTAGGCTTTCCTGGTGCAAAGAACATGAAGAAATACGCTATTACACCATTGTCATAATGATACCTTTTGTTTGGTTGGTTTTATAAAACTACCAGGAATATGGTAAGATAACACTAGAAATGAAATTCTAGTAGAGTTTATTACCTAAACAGACAACGCTGCCAAATATAATAGATTCATCAGTTTAATGGAAAAAACAAATGCTCTATTTTCCCCCTGGGAATGCTGTAAGCACATACCTAAGAACATGTTTACCTTAGGCTTTCAAGCTCCTTCAGCAGCTAAAAAAAGCTAGTTTAAGTTGTTAACACTGAAATATCAGAATACCAGCAAGTCAACCAAGTTGGCTTTTATATCTCATGAAATAGTTCAATAAGCTCAATGATTAAAAGACATTTGTTATGTGCTTTCATTTACTTCTTTGACTTATCTGACAAGTGAGAAACATCTTAAGTTATTAATGAAGTTTTTATCCCAACCCTGTAGGTAGAACAGAGAAATATTACAAGCAAAAATCAAAATGACATTTTATTAATGTTTAATATAGCAACACACTAAACTATACATTTAGTACACAGTATTATGAAATAAACTGAATAGCTGAAAACAAACAAACAAAAACACCCTGATGTTTGTTGTCAATTTAAAACTGGGAAAAAAATTAAAAAGTAGAAAATACGTTACAACAGGGATTAATCTGAACAAAATTATTAAATAAAGCTTAAATTGGCATTTAAAGGGAAACCAAAGGTTTAATATAGCGTAATGCATAAGAAATTTATAAGATACACAAAGGAAATAAATTGATATGAAATTAATATTTACAGACTGAAAAAGAATTAATGTTGAAAGTACCTTCCTTTCTGAAAAAATTTAAACTGAGACCAATTTACTTACCCAAGCTCTGTCATGCCATCTACAAATTCCTTTTTGCTAAATTCACATTGAGTTGCTGCCCTGAATTTCCATGCTATAACCAACACGCTGATACTGGCAGGATCTAGGCTTAAATCATCACAAAACTGTTGAATCCCATCAATTCCAATTTTATTTTCATCTTGTGGGTCTATAGTTTAAATTAAGGGAAAAAGAAGTTATACTATTTTGGAAAGTGTTATTGAAATGGTTTGTTAGAATCATACATCTACTACATAGTTCTAGAAAGCTTGTTTCAAATAGATCAATCAATAGACTGTAATTTTCACTACATGTGAAAGATAGCAACAAATAATAATTTATCCAAAAAATACTCCTATTTTTAAAGTCTAGATTTCTGGGCTATAGTGAAAAAATAAATAAATTGAAACTTCTTTGAGAAGATTTCATGATTAAAAAAAAAAGTAATTTCCTTAAAGTAAAATAAAATTCAAGTTTACAAAATTTTACTTCACCCAAAGGAAAATTGTTACAAAAATACTGCATTGGTAAAGTATTTATAATATTTTAAGTTTTTATCACAACCTCACCAAAAGATTGATATTTTTCTTTTAAAAGTGATTTCATTTGCTATAGTTCTAATGTTAATGTACAATATTTATTTTCAAAAGCATTTAGTTTATGCATCCATGTTTAACAGCTCAGAAATTCAGGTTTCTCTTGCCCTTCATTTCTGGTTTATAAATAAAATTAAGAAACTTAGCATTTCTCTATCAGAAAATCAAACAGTAAAATCTATTAAAAGAAGAATCCCAGCAAGACCTCACCAAACTAGATCTAGTAATTTCAGACAGATTATGTGTATCATAATATATTATCATAACATATGTGTTAATTCTGTTGGTTTAGAAGGTGGAAACAGAAAACCTGTAGCTCCTTTGCTTAAATAAAGATTAAGTGTGATAAACTTTTCTTTGGTCATACAAGGGTTAATTTTGGTCATTTAACTACTATATACATTTTATATATATAAAAGAAAAACCAATGATTGACTAAAACCACAAATATCTTTCCAACTCTATTCTTTTTTCTTTTTTTAAAAAATATATCTTTATTGATTTCAGAGAGAGGAAAGGAGAGGGAGAGAGAGAGACAGAAACATCAATGATGAGAGAGCCATTGATCGAGCCCACAACCTGGGTATGTGCCCTGACCAGGAATCGAACCCTGATCGCCTGGATCCTAGTCAATGCTCAACCGCTGAGCCACGCCCGGCCGGGCTCCAACTCTATTCTATTAAGACTATTTCAAAAGTATTTAGTGACAGAACAACTGCAGCCATGGACTTACAGGACAAAAGTTCTATACAACATTCTCACTTGTCTTTCTATTCAATTCTATGTTCCTAACATTATAGATTTTTAGGATAATAGAAAAGTTGGTCTACGATGCTCTCACCTAACCAGCAATCTTAATAAATTTGAGTTTTAAAGTAATTTTGGAAGCACTTTCATTTGTATATATTAATGCAATAACCAACATTATATTTGTGAATAGTCTTTGAACTACACTCTATATTTATTTTCAGAATCCAAAACAATTGTACCATATATCTACTTTAGTTGACTAGAATTGCATGGATAATAAATGAAGGGATGAAGTTTAAAATAAAGAAAAATGACAATTTTCACTTCTACAAAAGTATTTTTTTCAAAGGCAGCTGCACATATTTGAATAATTTAAAAAATCTGCATAGCATCTGACTTATAAAATTAGCTCAACAATTAACTTAGCCAAAAAATTTAAAGCATACTAAAGCTTAATTAAAAAATAACCGGGCGTGGCTCAGCGGTTGAGCGTTGACCTGGGATCCAGGAGATTGGGGTTCGATTCAGGGTCAGGGCACATGCCCGGGTTGCGGGCTCCATCCCCAGTTGGGGGCGTGCAGGAGGCAGCTGATCAATGGCTCTCTCATCATTGATGTTTCTCTCTCTCTCTCTCCCTCTCCCTTCCTCTCTCTGAAATCAATAAAGATGTATTTAAAAAAAAAAAAGTTTTGTTTTTTTTTTTAGAACTACAAGTATGAATCTTTCTTTAACCACAGAATATGTTTCTGAACCAAGATTTTTTTTTTTAAAAAGTGCAATTTTCAATCCATTCTTCAGATCTAAATAGACAGCTTAAAAAATACACACAGTACTCTCAAAAGTAAAACATGAAAATAATAAATAAGAATTTAAAGCTACGGAAGTATTTATTCTGTTTGAGTTAATACTTATTTTAATACGTATTTTTTTAATGTTTTAGAAATAAAAGGATTATTAGCCTTAGAAACTACCTAGAAAGAAAAAAGAAATCGACTCAATCAACTCTTGAGTCTCGCTGCTGCCTCCACACAGCAGATTTACATTTGACGTGAGACCTGAAAGCCTGCTGAGTGATTTGAATCTGTACATATTCAACATGCAGACTCATTTTTGCAGGATGACTGTATTTTGACATGGAAAGCTCCATTCTAGGTGCTGATTTCAATAAAAATAACAACTGTCCCCAAGCTTCAGCACAGATTTTTCTTTAGTAAGAGCTTTTCACAAAGCTCATGCAAGAACTGAAGTTGTTTCAGAGTTACAACACTCCTACACCATGTTAAGAGAAGGATGACTTTTACCAACACATCAGAATTATTTTCATGATTTGGTACTGCTTTTAAATAACTTTCTCCCTACCCAATGTTCAGCCTAGATGGAACTGCTCAGGAAAAAACACTGTATTCACAGGCGTGGCTACCTGGCCACGACACTATACCATGGACGGCTCCCCTGCCACTGGTGATCCCCATGGGGAGAGCTTACTGTCAATCAATCTTTAGACCCCCCTCTTCTCATCCCACCCCTAATCCAAATCGATTAATAGTCACAGTTCCATTTAAACTGATTGGATTTTGCAGCTGAATATCAGGAAGAGTAGGAACAGTATCATGAAGGTGTTTTGAACACGGCATCAGAAATTCAAGGACTATAACATTCATTCTGTTCCCTAGAGATGAAGCGAGCTCTCTACTGTCCGCCTTGTGGTCGCGGTCGCCCCTTACCTTTGTACCTGTTATACAGCTGCTCCAGCTTCTTCTTGTCCACTGTGTTTCTCATGGATTCCTTGTGGAACGAGTCCGGGTTTTGGAAGAAGTTGTCGGTGGCCACGTCTAGTTTCCACTCATTCTGTGTTAAGCAGTAGATGGCAGTTCTTTCGCCAGCCTGCGTAAATGCCATAAACTGGCGGACCTTGTCCTTCTGAGATGATTTAAGCTTATGCTTTGGGATGCAAAAGAAGCAGGAAAGCCAATGAAGCCAATCCAGAGGTTTGTTTCAGCATTCTATTCCTAATGCCTATATTTTAACCGGACTTATTTTTTTTCTTGTTGGGTGACTCAAGTTCACTTCAGAATTACAGGAAGACAAAGGCTTGTTCTTCATCAGTTAAAAAGACTGCACAGTCTTCTGAAAATTGAAACGACAGCATCTATATAGCAACAGATATGCAAAGTCTAATCTTCAAAAAATTATGAGAATCAATATTTTATACAAAATACATTTTGATCTCTACCCACTTCAATTTGCGTGAAGCACATTTTTTTCCCTAAGTCTCAGTAAAATCCCTCTTTGTAACAGACATGTAGCCCCCTGATGAAATGAGGCCAAGTACGTGACCCAGTGCCTGACCATGTCACCGACACCCAACTGTTCTCTCTGACGTCAATTAATTTCAGGCTCTAATAACAGGAGGAGGGTTTTCCAGTTTGAAAACATCTTTTTAAGTTTTTCCCAGGTTAAAATCAGCAGAACCACATTGATGAAAACATACACATGTAATTAAGCATAGTGTGAAAAATAATTTACAAAAGTTCCAAAAGCAGGTACAAAAAGCCTATTATGTGACTCAATGAATATGATACTAATAGCAAGAATGTCTGTGTACATGAGACAGAAATAAAAGAGAAAAATAGGGCAGAGGCTGTGAGGTAGTGAACAGCAAAACTGCCAAGTAACTGTACTATATATAGTATATAATGAAACAAAATAACATCTTAATACTTCCAGATATAGGATGGTAAAGTTTCTATTTATCTAAGGTAACTTGATGAAAATGACATCAGAAATAAAGGTGATTCACTCATTTCTGTAGATCAAAATGGACTCAATGTACTAGATGCTAATGCTTTACACACGAGGGAGACATTTTTACTTAAGGGAATGAATACTCAATCTTGTTTTTTAAAAAAAAGATGAGGCAGTTTAAAGAAACATAAAAAGATATAACTTACAAAAACATGGAAATGGAAAACGAGATATAGATGAGGGAAAAAGGAAGACAAGACAGCCAGGGACACGACACAGACATGCATACCACATACAAGAGCTGAAAATCAAGCTCCGAGCTTCCCAGCTGCCAGCACAGAGAAGAAAATAGAACTAGTTGGAAAATCTGCTTTTATAGGATTAAAAAACCTACCAGTGGCCCAGACGTGGCACAGCTCCTCCCAGCACTGAAACCCGAAGTGTCCCCTGTGGCTGCTCATGAAAGGGCAATGTGCAATGCCCTCTTCGTACCAGACCAACTCCTCACCAAAATGCAAACAGCAAAGCAAGCTTTCAGAGCTTTTTCTTAAGGCATCCCTCAATGCATGACGAAGCCAAAATAGCACAGAATAATTCAGTAGGAGCAGAGATAATGCAGTCCAAATATAGTGCTCTCCAAGTATGGTCTGGGGACTCCAGGGTCCTGAGACCTTTCAGGGGATCCATGATGACAAAACTATCTTCATAATGATTCCCAGCCACTCTCAGCCTTTTTCAATCTCATTAGTGTACATTAGAGGCTGCCAGGGGCTACACAACTTGTGATATCACAACAGAGTGAACACAGAACATTTGAGAACCTACCTTTTATTAAGCTGGACATTAAAGATATTTGCAAAAATGTAATGTAATGTAAATATGTAATGGGCTTATTTTTAAAAAATATATAAATATTTTTAAACTTTCATTTTAATGTCTAATATGGTATATACCAATGGCTACAACCCACATAAACGAAAGTTCTTTGGGGTCCAATAATCTTTTAAAGTGTATAGGGGACCTGAGACTAAAATGTTTGAGAATTGCTGATCTGGGGTAACACAGAAAATTAACATTTTGGCCACTTAGAACAATGCTGACCATTTTGGGTCTTGGGTCCCTTTTGGAATTTAAGTCACAGATCCTTTCTCCAGGAAAACATATGTAGTACATGTGGTACACACGTGTATGTAGTTTTGCATAAAATGTCAGGGTTTTCACAGGACGCTTAAGTCCATCTATTAGTTCCTTAGAGGATAGGGGAAGGTGCAACTCAGATTAAGAACTGATGAGCTAGATCAGGAGCCATTGGTCTCTGCTGAGGCTACTCAACTCTGCCAGTGCAGTGAAAGCAGTCATAGACAACATGCAGATGAGTGGATATGCTGTGCACCAATAAAACTTTATTTATTGCCCTGGCCAGGTGGCTCAGTTGGTTGGAGCATCATCCCCTACACCAAAAGGTTGTGGGTTCGATTCCTGGTCAGGGCACATACCTAAATTGTGGGTTTGATCCCCAGTCAGGGTGTGTACAAGAGGCAACCGATCGATATTTTTCTCTCATATCGATGTTTCTCTCTCTCTCTTCCTTCCTCTCTCTCTAAAATCAATAAAAACAGCCTGGCCGGTGTTGCTCAGTGGTTCAGCGTTGACCCATGAACCTGGAGGTCACAGTTCGATTCCTGGTAAGGGTACGTGCCCGGATTGTGGGCTCAATCCCCAGTAGGGGGCGTGCAGGAGGCAGGCAACTGATGATTCTTTCTCATCGCTGATGTTTCTCTCTCTCTCCCCCTCTCCCTTCACCTTTCTGAAATCAACAAAAACATATTTAAAAAAAATATATCATCAGGTGAAGATTATAAAAACAAACTTTATTTACAAACACAGGCAGCTAGCCTGTGGTCTGTAGTTTATAATCTTTCTATACTATAGGGTAATACATGGAATATATATTCTATACATTATTTCCTGAAACTGAACGTTTGAAAAGAACTAGAGAAAGAGGTGCAGGTATATTCTCTGGTAAGATCAAATTTAGCTAAATTAGGGCAGATCCCATAAGTTTTGATAGTAAGGTGATAAAAATAAAGCTAGCATCTTTTTATGATAGTCTCCTCAAGGGAGGGTGGGCAAAGCCAAGAGTTACCTCAGAAAGCTTAAGATAGAAACAGATGTTCAATCTCAAAATGGTACACCATTAAAAATAACCATGATATATTTATTATGGAAACTGCCATCTAATGCTAGATTTAAACATTTTGTCATGGTTGCAAAACAAAATTCAGTATATACATACAATGAAATACAGTCATAGAAAGGAATAAAGTACTGATGCTATGATGTGGATGAACCTCGCAAACATGCTGAGTGAAAGAAGTCAGTCAGAAAAGGTCATGTATTGAATGATTCCATTTTTATGAAACATTCAGAAGAGGCAAGTCCACAGCGACTGCATGAAGCAGATTGGTGGTTGCCAGGGGCTGGAGTGAGGGAGGACTGGGGAATGAGTGTCAGTGGGTGTGGGGTTTTCTTGGGGGTGATGAAAATGTTTGGAACTAGATAGAGGTGGTGGTAGCACAATGTTGCGAATGTATTAAACAGTATTAAATGCAATTAAACTGAACACTTTTAAGTAATTAATTTTATGCTACATAGATTTTACCTCAAAAGAAAATTCAAAGTAGTGCCCTTGGAACCTCCAAGATTAATCAACAGAGTAACGTTCTGTCAGGTAACTTATTTAAGCAGCTTCATACAATTGGTAGATCCACACCAAGGAAATGTTGACAACTGAAAAATATGATGATGCCTGATCGCAAGGCACTTTTCTTGATAATTTTTGCAGCCTTTCCTAATATGTGACCAAAAAACTGTATCAACAGTGTAAAAGAGAATGCTTTCTGAAAACTCTAGAAGGGAGGTATAGGAATACATGGGTCCTGGCAACACAAAGTGGTCTGAATTGTCACTATGTTAAGTTACAAAAGGGGTGGACCTGCAGGTAGAGAAACAAATAGATCACTCTTCCATCTATTCCAAGTGCCTGATATGTCATAAGACAGATCCTACAACCTTGAACCTCTAAGTGGTATGAAGGTGCTGGCTCTAGAAGGAAAAGGAAGGGAACTGTCATTAAAGTTGCAACAATTTGATGTTACCCATTACAAGTTTCTTCACAAAATAATAGTGATTATAAATAATAGTCATTAAGCTAAGTCTAAAGATTGTATGTTAAAATTGTAAACTGCAAGTTGCAATTCGTAAAAAAGGGAACTAGCATAAAGCTGTCTAGAAGAAAAAGTCTCATAAATGAAAACATTATAGGGGGAAGAAGAAAGCTCTAACCCATTTAGACAGGACTAAATCAATGTAAAATTAATAAAAGTTCATAAATTGGCAGGACCAGGGCCTACCCTGTCAAGAGAATTAACTTATTAATGGTAGCTTTTAAGGGGGGGGGGGGATGTTTTCTATGTTTCATTGTTTTACTCTATTAAAATGTACAAAATTCTTGAAATAAAAGCCTGGATATCCAGTAGAAACATCAAATAAAATCTCTAACCTATGGGAAAAGTCAAATATTTTAACTGTGACCTTGTGAAAAAAAAATCACTTACATAATCTGAGCACCAACACTTACCACACATAAAATGAAAGAAAAAAAAGTTATTCTCACAATGAATGCCCTTCCAGTCAATATAATAAATTTTCTCTTAGGGTCAACTTACTAGGGGCTGCCAGGACAACCATAATGATCAAATTCATTACATAAACTTGTTCACTTTGACTGTTTCAGGCTGAGGGTGGTGTTAAATTCAAATGTCTCCTTTCACACTCTTGGACCTCCAACCTGTACAGTAGTTGCACAGTCATTTTCCCCAAGTTAAGCTCCTGCCCACCCAGCCCCTTCCCCTAAAGAGTGGTCTCTGCCTGCGGAGGTGGGCACATCCTGCCTGGGCGGTGCAGCTGCTCCACTAAGTCAAGTGCCTTCTGGCTGCACTGCTGACCACCCCCTACCTGGTTTGTATGACCACTCTCTTTAGTCTTCTTGTTTCTCCGACGAAGGTGGGAAGATTTGCCAAGAAGGAGATGGCAAATCTTCCCACCCTGATGTTCTCTCCTCAGGCCTCCACTCTTTCCCCTACATATTCCTCCTGGACTATTTCTCTCCTGTTTGAAACCCTCTCACCGGCCTCCCAGTACCATCAGTACAAAGGCTAACATTTTCTCCCAGTGCCCTAGAAGACTGTGCAATCTGGTTCCAGCCTTCTTTCAAGCTTCCTACTATGTCACTTTTCCCTGGCTGTCTGTGGGGTAGCCAGGCAGATCTTCTAATTCCTGGGACATGCCACATCCTACCACTTATTCTGTTGTTTCCACCTGGAGTACGGTACACCTCTGGCTGCCTCTGCCACCCCACCCACTCATTCCTGAGGGTTCAGCTCACTCTGTATCACTTGGCTAAGCCTTCCTGGCCTTGGCATCTGACACCACTGAGCAACCCCACCAAACGGATTCCTGGAACCCGTGCCACTCCCTAGCACTTATCCCAAGTGCAATCAAACGGTTTTATGCTTAGTGCTCATCTCCCCTGCTAGGACATCAGCTCCATCCATACCACACCCACGTCTGTCTTGCTCACGGTCAGACCCCAACATCTTGCACACCACCTTCCCTGCAGAGAAACCTCTGAATTACTGAATGAATGATGAAACCCATCCACAGCCATGGTTTCCACTGCAGTTCAAAGCAACCTCCATTTCCCCACGCCTCTTTTCTGAGCTCCAGATCCATCCCCCCACTTCTCCCTCATTGTCACAAACCTGCGCTTCCCTCTATATTCCCTCTTTTGGTCAGTAACATCACCACCTGCTCTGTTG